CTTTGTTTCCAATTTTTGCATTCCAAATACCAATGGTTATCACGGCATCTTGATTCCATGTTTGGATCACTTTCAGATGGAAGACTTTGGTAGAATTCTTCAGTTTCTTCACAGCTTTCCTGGTTGGTACATAAATTTGAATAATAGTTGCAGATAGATATAATCCTATCACAGACAGCATTGTACTGCAGAGAAGATCTTGGAATGTCCTTTTGACTATGAATACAATGCCATTCCTCTTGATGCTGTCATTCCCGGCATAGTAAATCTTACGGTTTTCTGATTCAAAATGCCCAATACCAGTCCACTTCAGCTTGCTAACCCACAAAATACATTCCATTGTATTTTGATAATTTCCAATTTTTTGCAACTGTTTCTTCTCACCTTGAGTCATACACCATGAGTAAATGGAGATCCCGCAGGCTCCACTCCCACAGGCTTTACTCTGTTCACATCACCGTGCTCTACTCAGCCTTGAGAAAGCAGCTCCTCTTCAGTCCCATTTTGAATGCATTCTGACACGAGAGGCCCATCCTCCAGCACTACCTTCAATAATATTTTGCTTCCATTCATTAGGCCTTCAGTATCTGACAGTATTTTGAAGCTGTGCATAAGGTTATCAGTGGCTACTTCTTCTGAATTGAGTAGCCAAGTCCTTTGTAGTCTTTTCTTAGTGTGGAAGCTCTGCTGAAACCTGTTAACTCTGGGTGACCCTCTTCTGGTATCTGTAATACCAGCTACATACCATCCAGCATCACAGCAACACACAAGCTGCCGTGGTATGACAAACTGACAGACAAGTGGTAAATTGAAATGTGTGGTTTTTTTTAAAACAGTTTATTGACAGAGTTTCCATATCACTGAAACACAATATGTGAATCATATGTAAAAAATAACTGTTAAAAATATTTATACTCTTGAGAACCCACAGAGGCAGTTCTACTCAGTCCTGTAGGTTGCCAGAATTGACTCGATGGCTGTGACACACCAGCACCCCCATAGTGTTATCAGCTGAGTTTTGGACTGCTAACCTCAGGATCAAGAGTTCAAATGTACCAGCTTCTGTGTGGGAGAAAGTTGAGGCAGTTTATACCTGTAAGATTTATAGCCTTCTAAATCCATATAGGGTCACTGAGTTAAAATCAACTCAATGTCAGTGGAGGTTTTTCGTTTGACTTTTGTTTTTCATTTGTTTTGTTTACCTAGTCGTTTAGTGGAAGTTACAAAGATTTGGTTTGAAGAGCCAGAACAACTCACTGCACCTCGTGTGTTATGTGGTGAGGTAAAAACTAATAGCGGTTCTATAGCAGGGTTCAAACCACCAACCTTTAGGTTAATGTGCAAACTATTTGCTTTGCTGACTAAGAACTTAATGCTTGTGGATACTAGGTTGGTATACACTTGGATTTCATGATATTATACTGAGCCCATAGACTATAGCGAAGACAACCTATTGAAAATGCGCTCCTTTGAATATTTCAATAATAATTTATAGTACTGGGCAAGATCAGCCACACCACTTTATTAATATTAAAGCCTTTATTAGACAGCTGGTTTGAGAGGGGGCTATCGCCTGGAAAAACACTCTTGACCCCGAACAAAGAAAGCATGGGGTCTTTATAGGTAGGCAGAGGACTGGCTTAAAGGGGAGGGGAAACATGCAGGCAGTTACATTTGAACTTAGCAGGCAGGCAGGATACCAGGAACAGTCTGCAGACATCTAGAGAGTTTCAAGGACTGTCAAGAGAACTGGGAAGGTTAGTCCGGGTAGACTAGAGAAAAAAATTCAGGAACACTCGTGTAAGAGAGCGTACTTTATATCAAAGAGAAATTGTATCTTGAGAAAACATCCCAGTCCAAATCAAGTCCATAAGTCCAATATTAGCCCATACATATGTCCAATACTAGTCCATAAATTCCTCTTCAGACTCATGTAGCACATGCAGGCAGATCACAGGCAGGTGAGTGAAAAGTCTTGTGGATCTAGGGCCAGTGGAAACATCAGTGCGGGTCTCCACATGCCTCCTCCAGCTCTGTGAGTGTCCCAATAGCAGGAAAGTGATGCAGAGTGTGTGGCCAGAATCCTCATGATAAGGCCACACCCACAAAGAAGAATCAGGCTGTGACCTGACTGACAGGCTAGACCCAGTCCCTTCACTCTTAATACCCTCAAGTTGACAGGAGATTATGTAACTACCACAGAGGGAGGGAGGGTGGTAAGGGCAGCTGGCTGCTAGTAGGGAGTTGAAGGAAGTTTAAAACAAAATGGAGTTCCTCATGCTAACCTGGGTTACTACAAATTAATATAGCTAAAGGCCATCCTAGCTGAAGTTTGCTGTTTCCTGACCGCATAAGGTGTATTGTCTAGTTAAAATTGTGTCATTTTAATGAAAAGTTTCAGTTTAAGGGACTTAATTTTTTTAATCATTTTATTGGGGGCTGGGACTTAATTTTACTTAATTGGAGTTATATCATTTTAGGTACTGTGTAAATTTTTGTTGTTTTCTGGTATCCTGCCTGCCTGCTAAGTGAAAATGTAAGTGCCTGCATGTTTCCCTCTCCCCTTTAAGCCAGCCCCCTGCCTTAAATATAAAGACCCCATGCTTTTTTGTTTGGGGTCAGGAGTGTTTTTCCAAGCGATAGTCCCCTCTCAAACCAACTGTGTAATAAAGGCATTAATATTAAAGTGGTTGTCTTTTCATTAAGCGCTAGTAACATAATATTTAAGATACTTTTCTTCGTTTTGCTATTTCTTAGTTTATTGTTAAGTCAAGGAGTTTTATCAGATTATATTTAGACTTCATACATGTATATCAGTTTTATTCTGGGGTGAATCTGGCTCTTAAAATCTGGCATTTGTGAGTATAAGAAAGCAGAGTACATTAGGTGAACATATGGCAGTACTTTTTAGTTAGTGTTTAAAATAGCTTCTTAACATTTAATCCTTTAAAATTATAAAAAGAATCAAATTTTGCTTAGGAAGAAGTCCCATAATTTTAAATATCCTCTTGATGTTTACTTACCAACTGCCTCCTAATCATTAAATGCTTTCTAAATTTATATCACTTGAATAAAGTATATGTATTAAAAATACTGAATAGATATGATTTTAATGAATTTACTCACAAAATATGAGATAGTTTACTTTGCTTGGGAAAGAAATCACTTGCTCTTAGGATTAAATCTAGGTGTTTACAATAGTTCAGTCTTTGTGAAATGCAGAGAGGGTAACAAGCAATTTTTAGTGATATGCCACTGTCCTTCAAATAGTACCAATAAATAGAGATTATTATGAAAAGCATTTTTCTGAATCTAATTGAAGTTAAGAGTTAAATTTTTTAAATTTCTAGGCAGTTATTGAAATAGAGCAGATTAAGTGATTTTGACATAAGTTTACTGCTTATTTTTCCTAAGTTAATTTTAAGAATAAGACAAAGCATACATATAAATTAATCAGAACATTTTTCATTTTTGTGAATACTGCTGTCTAAAATACAATTTTTATATATAATTCTTGAATTAAAATATTTTAGTATTGACTTTTTGAACAGTATATTTTCAAAAGATTGATATCAGTGTTGTTCACTTTTTTCAGGGCTTTTTACTAGACTCCAAACTCCATTTCCAACAGCAAGACCTGCTTTTATGTCACAATCATCATATAAAGTGTCAGACTCTGAATGGAATCTGGGTCGACTCAATCATATAGCTGTCGCAGTGCCAGATTTGGAAAAGGCTTCAACATTTTATAAGAGTGTCCTTGGGGCCGAGGTGAGTGAAGTGACCCCTCTTCCTGAACACGGAGTATCTGTTGTTTTTGTCAACCTGGGAAATACCAAGCTGGAACTACTTCACCCCTTGGGCAGTAACAGTCCAATTGATGGTTTTCTGCAGAAAAACAAGGCTGGAGGATTACATCACATCTGCATTGAGGTATTTTACTTATTAATTAATTGTGACATTTTAATTGTATCTGTGTTAATTCTTTTATAAAATTATCTTTTATTTATTTCTTACTTTATTGGGGGCTCTTATACATCTCTTATCACAACCCATACATTCATCCAGTGTATCAAGCACATTTGCACATATGCCGCCATCATTGTTTTCAAAGCATTTTCTTCCTACTTGAGCCTCTGATATCAGTTCCCCATTTCTTCCCCCTCCCCCTCTCCTGCCCTCCCTCACAAACCCATGATAAGTTATAGATAATTATTTTCATATCTTACATCATCCTCTGTAGCCCCTCACCCAATTTTCTGTTATTGGTCCTCCTGGGAGGAGCTTATATTGATCCTTGTGATCGATTCCCCCATTCTTTCCCCACCCTCCCCTAATCCTCCTGGTATTTTTACTCTCATTGTTGGCCATGAGGGGTTTATCTACCCAGGATTCCCTGTGTTGCAGGCTCTTGCCTGTAGCAGTGTGCATGTTCTGGTCTAATCCAATTTGTAAGGTAGAATTGAGGTCATGATAGGGGAAGGAAGCACCAAAGAAAAGTTTTGCATTTTATCAGTGATATACTGTACCCTGACTGGCTCATCTCTTCCCTCTGACCCCCCTGTGAGAGGATGTCCTATTGTCTACATATGGGCATTGGGTCTCCACTCCATGCCCCGGCCCCCACCCCATTCACATTAGGTATGATTTTGTTCTGGGTCTTAGATGCCTGATACCTGATCCTATCGACAACTCATGATCACAGAGGCTGGTGTGCTTCTTCTATGTGGGCTTTGTTGCTTCTGAGCTAGATGGCCGCTTGTTTACCTTCAAGCCTTTAAGACCCCAGGCACTGTATCTTTTGATAGTCGGCACCATCAGCTTTCTTCACCACATTTGCTTATGCACCCATTTTGTCTTCAGCGATCATGTCGGGAAGGTGAACATCACAGAATTCCAGCTTGTTAGAACAAAGTGTTCTTGTGTTGAGGGAGTACTTGATTCAAGGTCCAATGTCCATCTGCAACCTTAATTCTTAACATATATATATATATATATGAGTACATAGTTCTATTCCTCTCATGTTATATATATATTTACATATGTACATGCCTGTGTTTAGACCTCTATAAATGTCATTTGCCTCCTGGTTCTTTCCTCTATTTCCTTTTACTTTCCTCTTGTCCCACCATCATGTTCGGCCTTCATTTGGCTTTAGTAATTCCTCGCTGCTACATTGCCCTTGATTAAGCCCCACTGGGCATCCTATGCCCTTCTATCCATTGATTTTAGTTCACTTGTTGTTCCCTTATCCCTGGTTGTTTCCCCAGGCTCCTTCCTTTCTCCCACCTCCCCTTTTCCCGTATCCCACTGGAACCATTGGTCCCAAATTATTTATCCTGCCTATCTTATCGAGATAGACATGCAGATACATTAATAGGAGCAAAAACCAGGCAAAGCCAGAAAAACCAACAAAACAATAACAACCCCCCAAAACAAAATAACAATGACAAAAAGAAAGTCACTGACCAAAATGGAAAAGCCTATAAATAGTTCAAGGTCTGTTTGTTGGCCTTTAAGAGTGTTTTCCAGTTGAGTCTGGTGGGGTGCCACACTCTGCCTCCAAAGTCAATTTTTGGTATTCCCCGGGAATTTCCTCACTTTGCTCCCCTTGCTGCTCTGTTGCATGCCCTTAGTGTTTTGCCCCAGTGTGATGGGGTCTCTTTGATTTTTTTGTCACTCTTATCAATAACTCCTGCCCCTCCCCCCCAGTTGAATTCTTTAAGGGAACTGAAATTACTGGCCTCTCTAAAGTTGGATCTATAAGTATGTGTTTTGCCTCTGGAAAATAATAAAAAGCAATATTAATGACTTTTATTGGTCAAGATTCAACAAGCTAGTATAAAGGCAGGAATGTAGATCTGAGCCTTTCTTGTAGTACTTGTTGATTATATGTTTGAAATTTCTATACATACATAATTATTTGTAATAACTACTTATCTAAAAAGCAATACATTATCTGTTACTGATTGTGATTTTTAAGGTATTTGGATTGTGTCTGTTAATAATTTATGGAAAAAATGGAGATATGTTAGACAAAAACATTCTCTTTAGAAATCTGTTTACATGTTCTCGATTTCATACAGGAGAGAAACCCTACCAATGTGTTGTATGTGGCAAAGCTTTTGGCTACAGATCTGTACTTGTTACACATCAAAGAATTCATACAGGAGAGAAGCCTATGAATGTATTAAGTGTGGCAAAGCCTTCATCAAGAAGTCTCATCTCCTTAGACTTCAGACAAGTCACACAAGAGAGGCCCTATGAATGTTACAGTTGCGGGAAAGCATTTTCTCAGAGGTCACATCTTACTGCACAAACAGAAAACTCATAGGTCACATGCACTTTCTAAATAGGGAGGTCTTAAATATAAATTAAGTCTTAATTAAATAAAGAATATATAGTGAAGAATTGTTTTCTATATATGTAAAACACTAAAACTTTTTTAAGCTTAAGATTAATTGAAGATTATTGATGGCAACATTTGTACATGTCCAGTGATATAATGGATGTATGGATTGGTATAATATATGTAAGAGCCCCCAGTAAGATGATTTATTAATTAAAGATTGAAGAAAAAGAATAACATAACTTATTTTCAGTTCAGGAAAAGAAATATTTAAATAAGTATGTAAAGAAAACACTTGCATTTCACATGAAAAAATTCATTTACATTTATTGATGCTTCTGGTAAAATGCAAGATTCATTTTCTTTAGTTTGCATAGCCACCCCTGTGGTCTATAGTAATTTCATTTGACAAGTGAAGAAACGGAGATTTAAGAGAAGTTCACTTACTGACAATTATGTTAGTAGTAGATGATAGGCTGGTAGTCAAATCCCAATTTGTTCCTTTTTGTTTTTTGTATTTAAATGCTTTTATTGGCATATACTTCATATAACATACAATTTCAGAACATACCACAATCAATTTATCACATGTAGATAAAAATCAATTTCAGAGAATTTTTTCTTGTAGTCATTGTTATTAGCTCTCCATTTCACCTCATTCTCCCCTGCTATACCCCTTAGGGAATTATCAATCCAGATACTGTCTCTGTAGATCTACTTTTCCTGGATTTCACATATAGAAAATCATGCAAAATACGAATAGGAAGCAATCAATCAAACAAACAAAATCAAAAGCCCAACAACAATGACCAGACAAAGCATAGGAAAACCTAAATTGGAAAGAAAGCAGAAAATATTAAACAACTTTTAAATGAGTCAAAAGGGAGATTAAATGATACATTTTAACTTAACTCAAAAAAACCCTCCAACAAGTTGATGCCAATTATTTTTTTATCATCTATTTATTTATTTATTTATTTGTTGCCAATTCTTAATAACTTGGCTGTGTTTCTGAGACTATTTACACAAGTAGAAAGCCCAGCCTTTCTCCTGTGGAGCTGCTGGTGGTTTCGATCTTCGGACTCCGCAAATTTCAGCTCATTGCCTATCTACTACTCCACCATGTGTCGTCATCGACTACAATGCGAGCTGAAAGCAAGGTTACTCACATTTCTCCGCTGTGATGGAGGATTATCCATGTGGAGACCTTGCAAATGGAGTGGGGTTTCCATTGTCTTCCATAGTGTCCTACAAACGAAGCGTTCATAACTTAAGCTCTGAACCATTCCCTCCTTTTGACTTGGACTTAATTGTATAAAATCCTTGGGTCATTGCCTGCTGTGTTTCTTCCATGTGGACTTAGTTGATCCTACACTTTGATGACTGCTAGCTTTAATACAAGTCCTTTAGACCCCAGATGCTATTCTTTTTCCTGGCTGGGTATTATCGTTTCTTCTCCACACTTTTCTGTGGTACCCGTATCTTCAGTGATCTCTTCATGGTTTATATATGTCTCTAGTTCAATTTAGAGCATCTTTATTTTATAATAAAGAAGATTATAAATCATATCCTGGGGCACCAGGTCATTCTATTGATAGTGTCATTAATTTAGTTAATAGTGTAGCATTTAAATTTAAAACACTTGCCACTCTTCACACACACAAAAATGGGAGTTGGATGTAGGGCAAAACTTTTAATAACATTCATTCACATGCCTACCAGATTAATACATGTCACAAGAAAGCAAGGAGGGCCAAGAAAATACCTGGTATCGTAAATATCTGGTAGTTCGGGCCACCATTTAAAGTACCCTCAAAGTAAGAGATCCAAAGTCTAACAACGTCCAGTGCCATCCCCTTGAGCTAGCAGTCATCTGCTTCTCATACTGGGGCATTTCAGCCCAAAATCCAGGGGAGTATGCCACTTCCTTAAGTCTGCTACAGGTGAGTTTGAGATGAAGCCCAGTTCATTTAGGAGGGGTTCCACATAAAGTCCTTCTGGTGTGGCCTGGGTCTGGCCTATGAAGGATGTTGTGTGCCTCAAAAGCAGAGTCTAAAGTCCCTGTAGTGTGTAGCTCAAAGGTTGCATAGAAACTAGGTTAAAACTGCCCATTGTTGAACATAGTACCAGGCATATTCTCCCTCTGGGTTCCATGAAAGTACTGTTAAATGTTTGTTTGTTTGTTTTCTGATGGGATGTTGCTCCTCCCCACATTCCCATCAACCGAAATGTAGTTGCCTTATCTAAAAGGAACCCCTGCTCCCTTCTTGATTTGAATTCTAGTAAGATTCACTTCTCACTCTTGTAGGAGTGTCTGTTGATTTTGGGTGACCTTAGCACAATATCGTATGACAGTAACCGAATGGTCTTCTCCGTCTTTGCCCATCTTGAAAAAGTGATGTCTCCTCTAAGTGGTTTTTAAGATGTGCACATAAAGGGTGTGATGTGTATGGCTCCTGGTCACTAGTCAACTCTGTATTTTCTTACTTAGAAGACCAGATCAGCAGATTACATTACCCGAGAACAGAAGCCTGCCTTCTTCTCGGTGTTACGCTTACTGTAAGCAGACTCATACAATATTTGCCCTTTGTGATTGTACTGAGCATTATGCTTTCCAGGTCCTCCTGTGTCATGAGTTGTTTCATGGTTTCATTGCTGTTTTTTAGGGATGCATAGTATTTTGTTGTATGTACCAGAGTTTCTTGATCCATTCTACTAATGCTGGGCATGTGGGCTTCTTGCTGTTGTCAACTATGCTGCAATGAGCATAGGGGAGTGTATGTCTGTCCGTGTTCTCCTATTTCTTTGGATTATATGCCCAGCCAAAGGTATTGCTGGGTCGCATTGGTGTTCCTATTTCCAGCTGTTTTAGGTAACGCCATATCGCTTTCCCGTGCTTGTACAAGCCCACCAGCAGTGTATAAGAAAGAATTCCAATCTCTCTCCAGCGCTTGTTCTCTGTTTATTTAATTGGGCTCTTTATGGGTATAGGGTGTTATCTCATTGTTATTTTGACTTGCCTTTCCCTGATAGCCAGTGTTCATGAGCATTTCCTCATATGTTTGTGAGCCATTCAAGTATCAGTTTTTGTGAATTGTCTGGCCTTGTCCTTTGCCTACCTTTTGATTGGGTTTTGGGGTTTTTTTTCTTATTAAGGTGTTTCAGAATTCTGTCGATCTAGTAATTAGTTCCTGGTGGAATAGTAGGGTAAATACTGAGCTGCTAACTGAAAGATTAGTGGTGTGGACCTACCAGCTGCTCTGCAGGAGAAAGATGCAACAGTTTACTTCTATAAAGGGTTACAGCCTCAGGAACTCCATGGAGCAATTCTATTCTGACCTGGAGGGTCACTATGAGTCAGATCCCCTAGATAACAATGAGTTAACACACAGAACTGTACTTTCTGAAGACACTCAATTCTATTAAAGCCTTATGGTTCATTGCCATTTATTTTTTAATGCCTATCTTTAAAATATTGAATCTGCTCATCAGAAAGTTGACAAATAAAGTTGGAAAACTTATTAAATTACATTTTCTCATAAAAAAATACCCTCTTGTATAATCATTACAAAGGTGCTTAATGTTCTTTTCCTTTGGGACCTCATAAAGCTTCTAATGCATTTGTGTCTGTTATGATCAAGAATTTTCAAGCAAAGAATCTTTGCCTCACCAATGGATTAGTATCTTCATCAGTTACCAACATTTTTCCATCAAAGTTGAATGTTATTTTTTAATTTTCCATTATGAAATTTGCTTAAATTTCTTATACTTGTGCATTTGTTTTTCACCAGAAAAAAATTTAAGTTTTTTCTTCAGACTCTTCTGTAGTTTGCTGTTTTCTAGCAATGCTTATACTGGTACCACGAGTGTATACTTTCTGCGATAGCTGTTTTCTAGCTGGTCCCACGAGTGTGTACTTTCTGCGATAGCTGTTTTCTAGCTGGTACCACGAGTGTGTACTTTCTGCGATAGCTGTTTTCTAGCTGGTACCATGAGTGTGTACTTTCTGTGATAGCCTTGTTGCTAGATGCTGCTAGGTTGCTTCTGACTCATATTAGTCCTGTGTATGTAGAACAGAATGAAGCACTACCTGGTTCAGCACTATCTGGAATTTCTGTTCCTCTCAGTGTTACCAAAAATCTGTTATGATCCACACAATTGAACACTATTTTATACTCAACAAAACACAGGTAAACATCTTTGTAGTGTTCTCTGCTTTTAGTCAAGATCTAGCTGATATCATCAGTGATATCCCTCATCACCTGTTCTCTTTCAAATCCAGCTTGAACATCTTGGTACTGCTGCCAGTTTTAAATTACATTTCACTTTTGTGTGATGTTAATTACTTTTGGGGATAATTTCTGCATGCTATTGGACATTTCTTTGACATTGAGCACAAATCAAAGCCACAGTGAGGTAGCACTTCACACCTACTTACCCACTGCTCTCAATTCCGTTTCAGTTCCTAATAACCCTGTAGGACAGAGAAGACTTTCCTCGTTGGGAAGCACCACCAGGCTGTGACCTGATTGCCAGGCTAAGCTCAACTTCTACACCTACATCTCTTCAGGTTGACACGACATTATGTAACTAGCATAGTACCTGCTGTGCCATAAACTGCTGAGAGCGTCTCATGAGTTTCTTCATCTCAATCGATAGTTTGTAGGGTAGAGTTCATCATGAGTTTCTTCATCTCAGTTGATAGTTTGTAGGGTAGAGTTCATCTCCCTTTTATAGATGAGGGTCCCAGATTGCTGAGGAGAAACCAGTATGATCTGTATATCTCAAGACAGTTACTAATGGTGAGAATCCGTAAAGATTGCACTTGGACCCCTAGGAAATTTTAGCATCTTTATTTCCTCCTCTGAAAGTTTTCAGCATTTTAGTTATTTTAAGATTGGTGCTGCCCAAAGGTAGAAGAGATAAACCATATAACCACTCAATATTTCTTCTTTAATTTATTGGTTTTATGATCTTAAATCTGTTGTTTACTTTGTTTTTTTCAAGGTGGATAACATAAATGCAACTTTGATGGATTTAAGAAATAAGAAGATCCGTAGTCTAACTGAAGAGGTCAAAATAGGAGCACATGGGAAGCCAGTGATTTTTCTCCATCCCAAAGACTGTGGTGGAGTCCTCGTGGAACTGGAGCAAGCTTGATTTTTATTTGCAAGAAATTAAATTAATTGATCTAAGAAATTCTTATAAGAAAGTGATATTCATTGATAGTAGCAACTTCTAAAATTGGGGAAGTTTAGGGAACAGTGAATATATTAATGGGGGAAAGGAGGGTTAGAAGAATTGTACAACTTGGCGAATGTAATCATTGTTAGTGGATTGTATATTTAAAAATTATTGGGTTGGTATATGATTTACTGTGTATATTCTTACCAACAATACAAAATTAGAAAACTTTCAGAATATACCCTGGAACCTTTGACTGCTTCTATTACTTAACAATGAAAAAGTTAAAATACTTACATATGTGTGTGTATATATACTTATATATATGTATTATACTTGTATGTACATATATATGCACAACACACATATTTAATCAAATTATATAGCATTTATGTAATGTCTAAGAGCTTGAAAAAGTTGGTGACAAAAATGTAATTAAAAATAGAACATTTCCAATGAACGTTTTGAAAATTTTGTTATTATTAATTTTGACTTCTATACTTGTTTTGGAGAAAATCATGATTATTAAACATTAATAGAAATTGTTTTTTCTAAAAGTTTTTTTTTAATTAAAGGGTGTGTATGTGTGTGTTGAGATGGATACACAAATGAGTTAGGATAAGACACGTGTAATATTCTCAATATATGTAGAGGTAATATTAAGGCATCTATATCATAGAGGTGTGAGAACAAAGATACCTAAATAGTGGTTAAGTATGTATATTTCAATTGAAGTGGCAAATGTTGATGCGAGTGGTCCTCTGATACACGCAATTGTATATTGTAATCCCTGAAGTAACAACTAAACGTTATAGAAGGATATGCACATAAATCCGATAGGTAAGTCAAAGAGGAGTACCTAAGAATAGTCAAGTACCCAGAGGATGACAGGAATGGGGAGATGGCTCAATGAACAAAGTGAACAAATAGAAAACAAAATAATGTATGTACTTTGTAACATATTAATGTTGTTTTGTGCTGTCAAATCAATTATGTCTCATAGCAACCCTATGTGGTAGAATATAGCCACCTCATATTGTTTCCATGGTTGTAATCTATGGAGTCAAGACTGTCTTGACTCCATCTGTTTTCTGTAGATCAGCTGATAGGTTCTAAACACACCAATTAAAGGACAGAATCTACAAGACATCTACAAGTGATTTTTTCCCAAATATGATAGAGGTAGCTTAAAGATAGAAATATAGACATTTATTTTGCAAATACAGTGATACCTTGGTTGTTGAACAAGTCCAAGCTTGAATTTTCCACTACTTGAACAGCAAAGTTAAAAAAAAAACTCAGCATTTGTAACTGCTCCATAATCAAACCAAAAATCAGACTTGGAAAAACCTTGAATGGGTGGAGACTGAGTCACAAATTGAGTTTTGCCTCAGACACACTGGCGTGACAAACTTCAGTGTAAGCACTGCTCTCACTCAGACAACATACAGTACTGTATTAGTGCGTTAAAACATTAGTCATTGTGCTTATTTTTTTTTGCACCTTATTTGTGTGAAATATTGTAAATTTTGTGTTTTAATATCTAATGTACTGCACTTATTGTGTGCAGATGTTTTAGGAGTATTCCTACAACCTAAGGTTTTTAATTTTGAGTTAAAGTCCTAAAAGTATTATAAGTGTACATTTTTGGCCTCAAAACCAATTATTTGGTTTTCCATTATTTCTTACGAGAAATATATGTTCAGTTTTCAAAATTTTCAGTGTTGGAACACAACTTTGGAATGAATTGAGATCAGTAACCAAGGTGTCACTGTACTAATTTTTTTTAAAAGCTGGAATGCTGAATATTGTGCTTTTATTTTTGAGCATTTAAAACCAAATTGCTTTAATTTTTTAATTGTTGTTTTTGTGTCAAATCCAAATCACAGTTTTTCCTCCCTGCCTCCTCCTCCCCAATTCAGCAACCTCTAAAAGGGTATAAAAATATTTATTGTGTTTTCAACCCCCTTAAACAATTGGTTTGATATAATATTTGGCTAATTTCACTCAGCATGTTATCCAAGTTTATTCATGCCATGTGATGTTTTGTAGTTTAGTCTTGTATTTTAGTGATAATAGCATTCCATTTTGTATATGTACCAGCTTTCTTTTTAAAAATCATTTTATTGGGGGCTATTAACAGCTCTGTTTTTTTTTCTCATTTTATGTAGAACATTAAAAAAAATCATTTTATTGGGGGCTCATACAATTCTTATCACATTCCATCCATTGTGTCAGGCACATCTGTACATATGTTGGCATTATCATTTTCAAAACATTTTCTTCCTACTTGATCTTAGCTCCTTTTACCCCTTCTCCCATACTCCCTCACGTACCTTTGATAATTTATACATTTTTTTTTTCATGTCTTATACTGACTGCTGTCTCCCTTCACCCACTTTTCTGTTGCCTGTCCTCCTGGGAAAAGGTTATATGTAGATCATTTTGACGGGTTCAC